GTCCTGAAAATTTCTTTATGAAAAGCTATCTCAAATGCTAAAATTTGCTAAATGCTTTGGGGAAGCGACATCACTTGAAAAGGGTGGAAAAGATGAGAAACAGGAACTGTTGGGAATTTCCCGTTCGGCTGTGCCAAATTTCCAAGCAGCCCTTCTCTGTTGTTATGCGCGTGCGCTCGGTATTATTCCTAGCCTGAACTAGAAATTGTTGTTTAGCCTGAGGCCATGTGAAAGCTAGCGCTAGGGTCGCGCGTGGGCCTAGGCGCTGGTAGCCTGCTTGTGCACTAGGGCGGCTCATCATGCGGGTGCTATGAGCCAAGGCTAGGAGCGTGGCGCGCTAAGCCTAGGAGCGGGGCGCGCTGGTTCTTTTCAGGAAATTTACATGTTTACCTTTATAACGATCGCCACTTATCCAAATATCATCCTTAGCATGGCAATTACAAATTTATCAGATGAGAGAAGCTTTAACATCGGATTTGCCATCTTTGCGCATGTGGCACGTCACACTAGCCTGACACGTTGGTGCCCAGTCAGCCAAGACATGTCAAAAGTCTTTCATGCCCGTGCCTCGCTCCTCTCTCTCCCTCTCCAACAGTCGGATCCTGCAGCTCCTCTCACTGTCAGGTGGGCTCTATTCATCAGCTTCTTCTCCCACCTCCGGCGTCTAGATGTATACCTGTAGTTGGGGAGGGTGTGGATACACCCGGCCTTGTCCACACCCAAACCCAAGTCTCAGTTTATCCATTCCTCACCCTCCCCATTTTAACCCAAATCCACATGCCCAAATCCAGTGGACAACAGTAATCCAATGGATAACAACATAGAAGATAAGGATGTGACGGAGGAACAGGCGGAGGTGGAGTTGCTCCGCTAGGAGTGCCTGTGCTGCATGCTGGAGGTGATGGATGCTGCAGATGGCCAAGATGTGGTCTCATGGCAAGCAGAACGAGAACGACGACCATCATCAATTGTATGTGGACTCGCGTTCAGAACACCGCCGCCGTGCTTGCTGCCTCCATGGGCGGGTACTGGAACTTGGGTAGGATGTAGGCATCGCGGATGGTGCCTGACTCGCCGTGCGAGGAGCCGCGGACGGTGCGAGGCTTGCCTTGGCCTGTGCGAGGAGCCGCGGGTGGTGCGGGAGTCACCATGCCAGGAGATGAGGTGCTGGAGGCCTGGAGCAGGTCAAAGTGCTCCAGAAGTAGGACCCGTGCGCTGCATCCGGCGGGGCATGCGCCGTGCAGCTGCTCACGCCCGCGCCCGTGACGCCGCGACCGAGCTGCTCGTCCCTGCGCCTGCGAGGCCATGGCGGAGCTGCTGGTGCCCGCGCTCACGAACGGGAGGGAGCGTTGGGGCTGCTACCAGACAGGGAGGGACCGCGGCATAGCTGCTCGGCTGGAGGTGGAAGATGAAGCTGACAAGTGGGACCCACCTGGCAGTGGCAGGAGCTGTCAGGCCCCTGCTGTCGGAGAGGGGGAGAGAGGAGCGAGGCAAGGGCAGGAAGGACTTTTGATATGCCCTAGTTGATTGGGTGTCAACATGTCAGGTGGCGCGGCATGCCACATGTGCAAAGATGCCAAATCCGATGTTAAAACTTCTCTCATCTAGTAAATTTGTAATTGTCATCCTAAGAATTATATTTGGACGAGTAGCGAGGTAAATAAGTAAATTTTTCATTCTTTTCGGATGCAGGCGTCATATTAATTCCGCGTGGGGACCGCGCCAGGTGAAGTGTTTCTACGCATGTGAGCGGTGTTGCCGCTAAACAGGCGTGGGGTAGCGCGTAAGGCGCACAGGGGCACAAAGATAGGTACGAGAGCGTGTGGCCGCTCCGTGATCGTTCACGTCCACCGTTTGAGGAGCTGTAGGCCCACGCGTCAGCTGCTGTCTCTGGCTTGGAGCCATTGGCATGCCTAGCTTGGCCGCTGGGGCCCACAGGTCTGTGGAGCACTAGCTAGTGGCCGTTTGGCCAGCTAGGTGCGCGTGGCTAGGAGAGGTCCGGCTGGCTGGGGGAGGATAAGGCAGTGCCTTTCCTTTCCTTCCTCTCCAATTCTCCCCTTTCCCTATAGTTGCATCCATGGTTAGGGTTCCTCTCCTCTCTCCCTCTCTCTCTCTCTCTCTCTCTCTCTCTCTCTCTCTTCCATGCTATGTGCAAATTTCTAAAGAGATTTTTTTGAATAAACAGGAGGGGTCAAGGACCCTACTGAAGAATTTCTAAAGAGAGATTGAGTGGGTGTGCATGAGAGATTGAAAATCCACTTCCACCCTCTCCTCTCCCTCTCAAGCTTGGTGCTAATTTGAGAGAGGACTGAGAGACCTAAAATATCTAGACAAATTCTGCATTAAAGCCGATGTTCCTCGGGTGCAATTGATTTGTGTGACTCCTTTTATAAGAACAAAGTCCCCCGCCTCGCTCCCTCTAGAGGGTCTTTCTACTGGAAAGTTATTCTCAAATTGAGCACTATCTTCAGAGGTGCTCAATGTGTCTTTGGCATTGGGGGCACAATGGGCCTTTGGGAAAACTTCTTAGATAAGCCTTTCTCCTCCAAGTTCTCAATTCTCTTTCAATATGCTAAGCATAGCAATATGTCTGTCCAAGTGGCACTTCACAAGGAGGATCTACTTGACATGTTTAGGGTCGCCTTTTTTGAAAGCAAACTATGTGGGGAGAGATTCCCCACCTGGATAGTACCAATTTATCATCAACAACCTCGTTTTTAGGGAACGACACAAAAACCCTGTAGGCTCGCCATTTCTAGAGCAGGTACAATGAATTCTTGGTGTTCAAACATGTTTTGGCTGGGTTTATGGCGCCGCATCCTCTAGATAATTCTTGGTGTTACATTTGGAACAATGCCACATAGGTCGGCCAAGTTCTACAGGCATCACTTTGCAGCTATAACTCCTCCAACTCCTTTCCTCTGTATATGGAAAGCAAAATGTATCCCAAGAATAAAGTTCAACACGTACCTGGCAGCGGCAAATCTAGACTAAACTGCTGCCGGGGTCGCACAGATTCATGAACTCAATCTGATGGGGTCGTAGTTGGCCGGAATACGTGGGTTCCACTGATTCGTACAAAGTTATCGGGGTCGCATGACCCCGACACATGCAATGTGGCTTCGCCGCTGGTACCTGGCTCTTTTTTATGATAGTCAAAACGTAAGAAATGTCATGCGACGATGAAAGAAATTCTTAGAGGGATATAACTATACCATGTGCCTTGATGGAGTGGAGGAAACTTCCATGCATCTCTTCTTTGAATGCTCTACCAGTGTAAGCAGGTGGTTCATTCTTGGTTTACAGTGGACCGTTCACAGGAGCATGTTCTAGATGATTACCGAACAAAGACAATCCTCACAGCTTCCTTCTTTCATGGACATTTTCATGACTGTTCTGTTACGAACGACGTATAGGAATATGTAAAGAATCTATGGTGCGATTTTGGAAAACCCTCCAATGTGAAGGGAAAAGCCCAGCAACAATCTCACATCTTACATAACAACAAGATGTCTCCCAAACCCAAGGGTGTATACAACACGGAAGAGCTTTTTCTCAGCTGAGAAGTTAAGCTTCACCTGAGTCGTGTCCCAGCTCCGCTTTCGAAGCCCGGCCTATATAGTTATGAATTGGAACAACCCAACATCTCTTGATTTTTAAATAATGGATTCATTAACAAGATGCCAACTGACAACACGGAAGAGCTTTTTCTATACAGCAAAGCAGCTCTTTTACACAAATCCAAAAAGATAATGGATTCATTAATCTGGCCTCTATATACACAAAGCGTATACAAATCCAAAAAGATACGAGAGCACTTAGACTCACACCTCAATAAAGAGGAGAACACACAACCAAAAAAAGGAAAAAAAACTATGACCGCGGCAAATCCCTGCTTCCCGACATCCTCCCCTAAAATGGCCAGATTCGGCGAGTGGAAGTCTTCAAGTCGCCACCACCTCTAGTGCGCCAGCGCAGCGAACCTCTGCTGGTGCCATCTTCATCCGCTTCAAAGTGAGGTGACACCACGTGTCACCGGTTAGCCCACCTTCATCCATCGCCGTCTAGTCAGAACTAGCCGATCAGACGCTCAACTCTTTGTAACTCTTTTGATTTGGCTCTTCTCTTTGTAATGTTGGTTTGGGCTCCTGGTAGTTCTTGTAATTAGGTAACTTCTCTTGGTTAGTCTTTCACTAACCATCCCTTCCTCTTTTATTAAAGTACTGGGTAGCTTTGCTCCATAGTTTACATAGAACTTTTCATTGCCCACCGTCTACGCGCTCCATTACTGATGCTACTCCTCGAGTGAGCCTGCTTCCCCGAGCACTGATTAAATAACGAGGTATAGCTAGTATGAAGAATAATAAATAAGGATTGGACTATGACAGACAGCACCCGTCCGCTAAGATAATATTCAAACGGATTGATATCCTAGACACCTATTATATTCGTCCACGCAAGATCTTGCAGTAGTAAACAACTTGAATATAGAGACGCTGTATGCTAGGTATACCAACCATGAAAATGAATTTTGGCATGCCAGCCAGAACACCAATTGTTGTGGCATACTGGCATCCCCATCACATAAACCTGAAGAAGCTTCTCCAATTTCTGGCAATGAAAGGTGACTTAACTATCCATCAATTGGCCACAGGTGCACCTTGGATTGATTTATTGTTGAAGCCGTGGAAGTTCATGACTATAGTATCGACGGACGTTTGGAAGTTCATACCTATAGTACTAATTGACGAGTTAATTATTACATTGTTGGGCATTGCCTCATACAAGTCACCAGCAATCAACAATTAATGGCAAATGTTAAATTGCTAATGCGGCCGTGTCACTGATGATGGATGTAGCTACATTACAAGACCTCACCATTTCTCTCTTCTGGTTTAGTCGTCGTCCCATTCCTCTCCTGTGCAGCAGCCTCATGACCTGCTGCTGGCCTTTTCTCGCGAATCAGTCAGCAAGGTTTTCCTTCCTTGTTTAAGAAAAAAATGGCTTTCAGGCCACTGGATGTGTGGAACCGTTGGGCCATCCAGATCCTGCTGCTGTTGAGCCTCGGCATGCACGTCCTCCTCCTACCCCTCGCCGGAATCCGGCGGCGTCGAGCCCCAATGCTGCTGCGGGTCCCTCTGTGGCTGGTGTACCACCTGGCCGACACCATTGGGATCTATGCGATCGGGATCCTCTCCCTGAGCAGCGCGCCGCGCGAGCACCGGCTGATGCCGTTCTGGGCGCCCTTCCTCCTGCTGCACCGCGGCGGCCCCGACAGCATCGGCGCCTACGCATTCCACGACAACCAGCTCTGGCTGCGCCACCTGCAGCTCTTCGTCGTCAAGGTCCTGGCAGTCACCTACGTCCTCTACATACTTCTCCCTAGAGGCGACACCTTCCTTGCGCTGGCCTCTCTGCTGATGTGGGCCGTCGGCGTCGCCAAGTACGGGGAGAAGGTGGCGGCGATCAGGGGCGGAAACAAGAGCAGCATCCGGAGCTCGCTCACGAAGAAGCCTCCCGCCGCCAGGCACCACCACGTTCACCACTGGGACCACGGCGTGCCGAACAAGGCCGCCGCCGTCGACGAGGAAGAAGCCCACCTGCGGCACGCGCACCACATGTTCCACTTCTGCAAGCGCGCCAAGGTGGACCCCTCCTGGCTGGAGAAAGACCCCGAGCACAGCACCCTGGAGATGCTCAGGGCGCTCAAGAAGCAGGACGCCAGGGGCATGTGGGCGTTCGCGGAGCTGCAGCTCTCCCTGCTGTACGACGTCCTCTACACCAAGTCCGCCGTGGTCCACACCTGGCCGGGATACCTTCCTCCGCCTCGCCTCGTCTCTCGCCATCGCCGCCGCGTTCCTGCTGTTCCATTTCAGTGGCAGAGACGACGACGTCGTCGTCGACGTGGTCGTCACCTACGTCTTGCTGGCAGGGGCCTTGGTCATGGAGATGGCGTCGGTGCTGAACGCGCTGGGCTCCTCGTGGACCTACGCCTTCCTGTGCACCACGCGGTGGAGCTGGCTCCGGTACGCGACACTGTGCACCGGAAGATGGGATCGGCTTCGTCAGCTTGTCAAGACAATACAGGGAAGATCTGTCAGTGTTAGGAGGTGGTCTGGCGAGATGGGGCAGTATAACATGCTGCACTTCTGCAGCCGTCACAGAAGGGCTCACAGGCCTCTTGCAGGAAGAATGGCCATGGCGCTGGGTTTCGAGTACTGGTGGAACCGGAAGCATTACTCAGCCACAGCTGACATCTCCGACGAGCTGAGGCAGGGGCTGTTCCGGTACGTGCAGAGTCTGACCGAGACGGGGCTGAACTCGCAGGGCGTGATCAGGAAGAGCTGGGGTCAGGAGGCGCTTGAGAGAGAGGACAAGGGTTTGTATGAACGCATCAAACGAGACAGGAACCTCGGCGTGGAGTTCCAAGAGGGCGTCATCATCTGGCACATCGGCACCGACATCTTCCTCGCCAGATCAAGAAGCGGTGTAGAAGAAGCAGCTCGTGGTGGTGACGAAGATGCAGCAGCAGACCTCCTGCTGGTGGTGAAGTCGATCAGGACACTGTCCAACTACATGATGTTCCTCCTCGTGAACCACCCAGACATGCTGCCTGGCCTTGCCCAGGGCATGGTGTACCGGCGAACCTGCGAGAACCTATCCGACAGGTGCAAGAATCAACAAGGTCGTCATCTTATTAACAGAGATATCGGTGCAAAGCTCGGAGAGATGTTCTGCCTGCAGGATGGCCCTGCTAGTGTCCCTGAACAACAACTGAGCCATGTACATGAGCTTGCCAACAAGGTGTATGAGGAGATGCCAAAATACAGCCAGAGTGTCCCTCGCCTTTGCTACGCCAATGGAGTCGCGGTAGAGCTGCTTGGCAGAGTCAAGGAGAAAGGCGTCGAGGCCGTCTTGAGATTGCTCCTTGACGTGTGGATGGATTTCGTGGTGTACGCGGCCAATCGGTGCAGCAGGGAGTCCCACGCCAAGAAGCTCAGCAGTGGCGGCGAGTTGACGAGCGTTGTCTGGATGATGGTAAACTTCCTTAACCAAGAAGCTTATGCACGGCAGAAAGATTGAGTCTTCAATTCGGCCAGACAGCTAGTTTGTGTGTGTGTGTCTGTGTATAGCTGATTCAGTATCTATCCAGAACAACTGGCTCTTGTTAGAGTTAATTCCTTTCCTAGAGATATTGGTAACGAAAAAAGTTACAGATGTGAACATATTGTATGTAAAGATCCATCGAGGTTCAGCGGAAGCCTAATGTTCTGTTGTTAACCTTCTTTTATTGTCAATATAATTGTTATTATTGTTAACCATGATCGCAATGCAATCAAGCCCACTTATTCAACTGAATCAACAACTAAACGCGACGCATTGTAATTAACTTACAGTTGCAGGTGAAACACTATGTTTAGAAAGGGTGGCATATGATTCGATACAAGAATACCCCTAGGGTTGTTTATTCCTCTCGGTGGCGGCAACGCTTACGGCTGCGAGAGTCCAGAAATTCTACCAAGTTCAATCGGTCCTACACGTACGTGCTCCTGGAGCATCCGTGAGTACAGAGCGCCCCGCGTCCGCGGCTTCCGTCGGCGGTCGTTGCATGGCGGGCATCCAGCGGGAACCAAAGGAGAAAGAAGCGGTGGGTGAGACTATGGATCAGGACCCAAAGGAACCCAGCTTGGAGGAGCGGCTGGGAAGGATGAATTTGCAAGGGGAAGAAGAGGAGGGTCTAGATTTCTCGAAGGAGTTTGAAGAGCTCGTCAGGATGTACGCTGGCTTGCCCTGTTTTCAGTCACGTGGCTCTGTTCAGTGCCATGCGGATAGCATGGGCAGCAGCAAAGGAGGTAACGCTCAAGGTTCTCGGTGGAAATCTCTTTGTAGTTCAAATGCACTGCCTTGGTGATTGGACTAGAATGATGGAAGGAGGGCCCTAGCTGTTTCGAGGAGCTGCGGTGGTGATCGAAGAGTATGATGGTTTCTCTAATGTCCAAACATACAGACCGGATAAAATTCCAGTTTGGACTCGTATTCAAGGAGTACCGGATGGCTTGATGAAGAAGAGGGAGTTGGCAGAAAAAGTAGCGAGGAAAGTGGGGGATCCCATTCACGTGATCGTTAATGAAGGCAGGATTAATCCTGCGCCCTATCTCCGTGCTAGGGTTTTTCTTGATTTGAATAAACCTCTAGTGCATGTGGTGCCCATGACTATCAAGGAGAGGATGATGTATTTGGTGTAATATGAGAAGCTTCCGAGCTTTTGTTTCAAGTGTGGCTTGATGGGCCATGAAGTTGCTGAATGTGGAGATGGGGTGCATGGGAAAGATGAGTGTGAATGGGGTGATTGGCTTAGAGTATCTTTTCCACCATCTATTGGTGGAAGAGAGGATAGCAGAGGAGGTGGCGGTAGAGGGTGAGGGAGAGGTAGGGGCCGTGATTACTGGGCAGAAGAGGAGGCTGAAGACATGGAGACCTCAGCTGATGATGAGGAAAATTTGGATGTTGCTCTAGCATCCAGAAAGAGAGAGGTTACGGAGGTAGATGGGAGAGGTCTGGTGGCAAAGCAGGTGAATCTTTTGGAGAGCTCCACTCCGGCAATGAGCCCTCTGAAGGAGCAAGAGAAGAAGAGACCGAAGAGAAGCAAGGAAGTTGGTGATGTTACAAATAACCCTTTGTTTGGATCGGCGCCCTCTGACGAGGAGGGTGACTGGGCGCAATAAAACTCTTAGCGTGGAACTACCAAGGGCTAGCTAGCTCCCGGGCAGTTCGAGCGCTTTTGGAAATCCAGAAGCGAGAGCAACCAGATGTTTTTTTCCTGTCTGAAACGCATCCGGGGAAGGCAAAAGCAGATAATTTGAAGAGACGTTTGGGCTGTGATCATTACATCATCCACGAGAGTGATGGTCGCAGTGGCGGGCTTTTGATGCTGTGGAGGAAGGAGGTGGTAATTCAACTAAATGATGTTTCTAAGTACTTTATTGATGTGGTAGTCAGGGATGGAGATGAATGGAGGCTAACTGGAGTATATGGAGAGCCGAGTTGGGATCACAAGGACCAAACATGGGGGCACTACGCTCGTTACATGGTAGCAGTTCGCTCCCCTGGCTGGCCTTGGGTGATTTTAACGAGATTTTATTTCATCATGAGAAGGAAGGGGGGCGAGCACGCCCTCAGGGACATATACAAGCGTTCCAAGACGCTCTGGTAGACTGTGGTCTTGCGGACATTGGTTATACCGGAGACATTTTCACCTGGCAAAGGGGGAAAATCAGAGAATGCATTGATAGAGGCGTCGCGAATCTTGAGTGGAATATTATGTTTCCTTACGCAAGGTTGGTAAACGACGAGATGGTGAAATCAGATCGCCGCCCGCTCATTGTAAATACGGACTTCCTTGGTGGTGCAAATGAGCAATTACATAGGAGCCTGAAATGATTTGAGGCGAGGTGGCTGAAAGAGGAGACCGTGGAAGAAATTGTTCAATTAGCATGGGCAAGAGCTTCGTCGGTAGGCCATGGGCCTAAGTTGATGGAGAAAGCAAATGCAGTCCATGCAGATCTGCATGGACCGTGAGGTCCTAAAGAAGCCGTGAGGTCCTAAAGAAGCGCTCAGCGTATGAAGAAGCTAAAAAAGGAGCTGGAAAATTTGAGAAGTGCACCAATGACGGATGAGTCGATAGCTACACAAAAGGAGATCCTGCTCCGGTTGGAACTGCTTTTGGAACAAGAAGAAATTATTTGGGTGCAAAGAGCAAGAGCAAATTGGCTCAAGCACGGTGATAGAAATACAAATTTTTTTCACCACTTTGCTTCTCATCGCAAAAGAAGGAATATGGTACGTGCGCTAGTTGATGATCAAGGAGTAAAGCGTGAAAATGTTGAGAAGATGAGAGAGATGGTCCAACATTATTTTGTAAATCTTTTTTCATCATGAAACCCAAGAGGTGGACCTTGCTGTTTTGTCAGATGTAAACCGTAGAGTTACAACTGACATGAATCAAATTCTCATGGCGCCTTTTTCTAGAGAGGAGGTGAAGAAAGGTTTATTCAGTATTGGAGATTTGAAAGCCCTAGGACCTGATGCCCTTCTTGCTATTTTTTTCAAACGGTTCTGGAATATGTTGGGCGATGATTTGGTGAAGGAAGTCCTGGCTGTGATTAATAATGCTGTTGTTCCATATGGATGGAATGATACTACCATTATCTTAATCCCAAAGATTGACAATCCGGAGATGGTGGCCCAATTCCGTCCAATATCGCTTTGCAATGTGGTTTACAAGGTAATTTCAAAAATGTTATCAAGTAGATTGAAGGTAATTTTACCTAATATTATTAACCACCACCAAAGTGCATTCGTCCCAGGCAGATTAATCACAGATAACAAGTCACATGTTACATCACAGTTCATAAATAGTTCACCATTTTCTCACATACATCGGAGTTCACATAGTTATTACAAACAAAATTTAAATAGTAGAAGCAAAGTAGTTTAACATCAACATCACACTTAGTTCAAATACAAGCCAGTGCTACGGTCATTCCAGCAAAGGCAGAACAGAGGGGATAACTCAGGAGTACCATGCCCCATGGTTTAGTCCTCATCCACAGCAGGATAAAGGCAGTTCTTACAGTACCCATGGTACATCATGTCATCTGCAACAAGACAGAAATAAACCCTGAGTACGAGAATGTACTCAGCTAGACTTACCCATCATAAACCAGAAATAATATGACACCAAGAAGTATGCAAGGCTTTATCGGTGGAGTTAGCTTGACAACATTTTGCATAAAAGCTTAAGTAACATAACTTGGAGCTTTAGTACTTCTAGCATCAATTTGAATACCTATTCAATTAAGCATCTCTAGATTAGCATATGTACTAGAGTAATCACTTGATTAATCTAACAATCATTAGTAACCATATCCGGTTATATGAATAATTTGAGCATCATCATAACCATCCAGTATCCATTAAGTTACTCTACGTTGCCGCTGCTCAGTCAAGTTCTCACTATCCAGAAAAGACGGTGATTCGAATCGATTCCTACCCAGCTAGGGAATTATTCCTAACACAAACCCATACTTCTCCCGTCAGGGTCGCATTGGGTCACCTTTGGTACAACTCGGGAACCAACTTTGTGGGTTCGATCAGCGCCCACCCTCAGAGATTCTACCAATCTGCCGGAAGATCAGGACTCGAACCTGCCCTTAGACTTACTCTATTGGCTCTCCACACATCCTTACTACCTCCGATGTGTGCACTTTCACTTATCGGGGCCCGACCTGAATTGAGCTACTTGGCTTCGTGGTCAGCACGTCTTATCCGGCCAACTAAGTGCTAGGCTTGCGTTCAACATGACATGAGGACATACAGCGAATTGGTCCTTAACCGACACAGACGGGGATAAATAGGCACCAAGACCTCCATGCCTTGTGCTTCTCTATCACAATCCCACCCGGTCTCCTTTTTATTCATCAACATATGGTTATTTCTATGATAGCAATTATAGCCAACCGTGATCAGTTATCTACCGATATGTTTCAGGTGACAGGAAATCACCTAAGGTCTACCGGACTAAGCAAGGCTAAGCATATATTTGATCTTGGACATACCAAGGATTCAAGATATATTTATCTAGACAAGGATAATATATGCAGCAAGTGGTTTCAATCAACTCTTATAACCTAATGCATCAAACATAAAGAAGCAAGTGATATTTGTAAAAACATTGGAGGCTTATAATGCTCCGAGGCTTGCCTTTCAAGAACGAAGAAGGTTGGTGGTCAGAACACTCAGGGAGATCTTCTACATTGACTCCTCCTTCTGTCTGAACTTCCTGCTCCTAGGCTACCTGCTCCTCCTCCTGATGCTCGGATTCGAATTCGAGAAGCGTCACTCCTTCTGGGGAACCTATTGCATGCATATGCACAAATGAGTACCATGAATGCATAAGAGATGAGATGATATGATAAATTGTGTATGCACGAGTATGGTTATCTACAAGGTGTATGATAAGTTTAACACTCGTTGATCAAGTAGATGTATAACTTTTTCTAGTTGATTTTTACTGAGTAGGT